GCTGTCTCTGCAGGGGACAGCGGCCTGCTCCAGTGTTGTGGCTACAGTCCTACCTCCTCCTAGAAGTCTCCGTGCCATGCCCCCAGCAGGCTTTTTTGCTTCAGGTCAGGCTCACTGTCAGGTATCCTTACTTCGATGTTTTCTTTGGGACAGTCCCAGACAGATGACATAACACCCCACATGGGATGTTCCCCTGCTCAGCCTGGCCTCCTACCACAGCCCTTAAGAACACAGTAGATAGTCAAAAAGTGTTCACAGAATAAGATTTAAAAACTTCTAAAATTCTGTATGCACGTTACTCACGGACTCATTAGCATGTCATTAGCATGGGCTTATTAGCATGACCTCATTAGCATGTCTTAACCTTCTTGCCTCAATACAGCAGAGGAGCAGAGGGCTGTAAGCACTGGACATGTTGAAGGTGCCTGGCTGACCCACTTGGGTACATGCTGGTCATATAGTGTACTGGCAGGTCTGTGATTTACTCTCAAACGGCAAAGCACGGGTCTCCTCGCCCTTCTCCTGGGAAGGTGTCCTGGGGAATGTACTGACTTCTTCTATTCTTCCTCTCCCTAACTACTGCACGTAGCTTGCTTAGCTCAGGAACAACAGAAGAGAACAAAGAAAATGACCTCAGACCTTCCTTACCTCCGTCTTATGCCGCAACTGTAGCAAGGCCCAGCACGTCCGCAGCCTCCACGGTACCAGGTGAGGCCGGGTCCCTAATACTGAAGGATATAGCTCAAAAAAGGGTTGGCTCCTTCCTCCTTCCCTCCCTCCCTCCCTCCCTCCTTCCTTCCTTCCTTCCTTCCTTCCTTTCAATAGTGTCTCACTATGTATTCCAGGCTGGCCTCAAACTCACAAAGATCCACCTGCCTCTCCTCCCGGTGCTGGGATTAAAGGCGTGAAATAAACAAGTAGCCAGTGACCCTTTACTTCTTGAAGCATTCCAAAGAGCTGGGGTTTCCGACAGGAGGTGGCTGAGACCTGTCTGTCTCTCGGGGCTCAGGGACTGGACTGTGAGGATTTAGACTCACTTCTCTTTGGGAGGCAACGTGCAGCCATCCTCCCGTGCTCTTTGGTCCTGTCCCTCCAGCACCTGCCATGAGGTGCCTCCTGATTCATTTCTCACTCCTGCCTCCAGGATACTCTGAGGACGGCGGGGCACTCCGAGGAGAGGTTATTCCGGAACACGAGTTTGCAACGGGACCAGTGTGTCTTGACGATGAGAATGAGTTTCCCCCTGTGAGCATTCGGAATGCTTAGCAGAGTTACCCCATCTGTACGCCTGGGAGGAAGCTTTGTCTCCCACAAGAGGCCAAGTCACTGCCCTGTGCTGTGCGCTAACTCCTAACTGCTAATCCTCTTTACAGCCAGAGCCTGGGGCACCCACTCTGCAGTTTCAGATCCTGCAGGCTAGCCTATTGGTGTGGTGCTTGAGGCCTGACAGCATTACCATAACCAAATACTAACCTGGGGAGTGTGGATGGCTCAGAGACCTCTAGACTCCTTGCCTCTGCCTCTATATGCACACTACCTTAGCTCCTTGTGAGTCAGAGTTTCTGCCTGTCTGGCTTTCCGAAACGCCTTAAGAATGCTTTTGTAGAATGCTGCCTGTTACTTGTTATGATGAGTTAATGGGGCTAGGTCTTGTCTGGGACTCTGAGCTGGCTGCAGGAACTGTCATGCACCCTGCCTGCAGCTCTGGTACCGTACTCTTGATCCTCTCCCGCAGCTACAGGCACCTACCAGGAAACCACATGTATAAAGCCAGGGTGGGTGGCAGGAGCTCACCTGGAGGCCTTCAGCAAGGCATCCTGCTTCAGTGTGCCAGCTGGGAGAGATGCCAGGGGTGCTGAGCACTGGGCTGGGCTTCCGTTAACGGCTGGAGGAAAGATTCTTTCCTTCAGCACTGGGGGACCATCAGGGCCCCCTTAGCTCTCATCCGTATCTCCAGTGGAGCAGTGTGTGCGCCCCTTATGTATTTCAGTCAGGAAACGTCCCGGTGGCTCGGGGTGTGACTCAATTGGTAGAATGCTTGCCTGGCACACGTGAAGCCCTAGGTTCAGTTCCCGGCAGCACTTAAAATTGAGCGTAGTGGTACACACCTGTAATTCCAGTACTTGGAAGCAAAAGTATCAGATATTCAGGGTACAGAGTGAGTTCAAGGCCAGACTGAGTTATATGATGCCTTGTCTCAAAAAAAAAAAAAAAGAAATCCCAGATAGTCAACTTGAGCTCATTTCAGATGGATGGAATAGAAAGGAGTGGTCCTGAGGGCTCTGAGGTTGGTGAGGCTTCTTTTTGTGTGAACAGGAGGCGTTTGTAACTTCTATACTGGCTTTTGTAGATTGCAGTTTGAAATTAACATTTTTGGACTTTCGTAGGCAACCTGCCAAATACATTGCAAGCAAGTGACAGTTATGTATTAATGGTGCAAAGAAGTAGTTCTTTTAAAAAAAATCTGATTATACATTTTAAGACAGCCATTGGCCCACTGCCTAACAGTTGTTCCTCAGTCAGCGTGCCTTTGGGCTCCCGTGATGCTTTCTAGAACTACAGGGAGTTTGTCCTCTGAAAGTCGGTTGTTTAACTATTTAACTGGCATTACATCTTCCAGGAGCCTGAGCACTCTCGGTCAGACTGTGAGGACAAACATGGCCAGAGTGTCCTGTTCTGTGACGGTCAGATGTTCACTCAGTTTTGCTTTAGCAATTTTGGTAAAACCCTGAGGCTGCTACAGAAGACTGATACATCACAAATTTAGTTAGGGTCTTCAGTGTAGACAGAACAGACCTTGCAACCTCCGTGTTTACAGAATTAGAGTAATTTGAACATCAGCAGGTAGGAGGTAGGCCCCTGTTAGAGAAAACTCGTATAAAATAATAACCCCGCGAGAGGCATTTTCCTTGAGGGGAGGAGACTCGGAGAGGCTTAATTTAAGAACTAGTGTTGACGGGTGTGGATTAGCGATGGTGTGTTTGCCTAGCGTGTAAGAGGCTCTGAGTTCCATGCTCAGCGCCCCCCCCCATCCAAAAATACTAACGTTTAAATGTGCCTCGAGGCAAGCTCACCAAGACATGAAAGCCAGGGTACAAACCAGCTGTCCTGAGTCCCTCTCTTTAAGAGCAAATTTGTGAAAGTTGACTTAAGCTGCACTTAGAATTCTTGTCTGGGCTAGAGGTGTGGCTAGCTCAGTAGGCAATGGGCACCGGGTTCCAGCCCCAGCCTCAAAAAAAAAAAAATTTTTTGTGCCCAAGAAATTCACCCTGCCAGTTAAGTGTTGGTCACTGGACAATTCCTAGAGTTGTTGGAGTCCAGTTAGGGTGGGATAGCCTCTGGGTGCCACAGGTGCTAAGTGTTATATGGTGGCTGCCAGGCCCAGCCTGTCCCACAGGCCCAGCCTGTCCCACAGCCTGCAGGTAGATGGGGAGGAGGAGCCGATGTTCAGACCGAGGTCCTGGGTCAGCAGCAGGCAGGTTTCTCTGTCTCAGGCCCAAGGACCAGAGGCAAGAGTGATGCTGGCTGCTGTTGAGTGCAGCCATCTCAGGTCTCTGTAGCGTAAATGTTCAGCTGGGCTTGCTAGGAAAGCCCCCTTCTGCCTTTATTCTGAAGTGTATGCCTCTTGCAAATATTTCCCCAGAAACCATATCTTCATTCACAGTTTTTTAAAAAGCCTGTAAGACTACAAAAGGATCTTGAGAGTCTCGGCTTAGCCAAAATCACTTCCCTTTCAGATAGGAATATCAGGCTCACTGGTAGAGTCTGCCTCTGGGCCTCTGGGCCTCTGGGCCTCTGGGCCTCTGGGCCTCTGGGCCTCTGGGCCTCTGGGCCTCTGGGCCTCTGGGCTCTGCCTTAAGCCCAGGAGTCATCGCTAGTTTTCTTTATAAAGTAGACTACCACTGCCCTCCTAACACCACTCTCCTCTCTGGGATTGACTTCGCCTCAAGACCAGTGAGAGCAAAGCAAGCTCCTCATCTCTGGTCCCCTGGGAAGAGGCTTTGAGGAGGGCCAGCAGCTTCTGCTTCCATTGCGAGCCAGCCTGCAATCTGTGTACTCTGTGGCACTAATGTTAACATTGTGAGCGAGAGAACGGCCAATTGGACCAAGAGCATATGCTGGCTTTCCGTGTTCTCTCTAGAGTCGTTTAGTTTACAAATAAGATGAGACTTTTTTTTATGCACACACGCATCCGAGCACACACGTGCACACACCCAGTCTGTAAACAGTATTGTTGGGATCTGTGCTACAGTTACATACACCTTCATGAGATGGGTGGATTTTCCCATGGCCATGTGTAAGGGTCAGTCTGTGGTCATACATAAAAATCCCAAAGGTCCAGCCTCCCCTGCTGACACACCTAGTGCTGACCCCTGAGTAACCCAGCCTGCCTCCCTGAAGCCTCTCCCGAGAAGAGTAAGGCCATATTCTGTTTTGATTTTGGTAGATAATCTTGTGCCGTGGAAGTCAGAAGAGCAAAACGAAGCAGTCCTGACAAGAAGCCTACCTCATAAGTCAGGAAAACCCCTGTCAGGTGGTTTTGGAGAGAACAAGGAAGAAACGGAGAGCAATCAGTGCTGTGGGCAGAGAGGGGAGGGAGGCAGGAATCCTGGGCACCTCACTGCCTGAGCCATAGACCATGGTTAGCCCCTACCCAAGCCCCTCAGCCTTGGCTGCTAGCGGGCAAGGGGAACGCTGGAGTCACACCATGCTATTTAAAAGACCTTCAAACCACAGTGTAAATGCTAGCTAACCATATTGGTATATAACCGGAATTTTATATTAAAAAGGGCATCCTTGTCAAATGTATGCTGTGTAAAAAAAAAAAAATAATGTATGTAGTGGGAAACCTCTTAGAAGTGTGTTCCGTGTATATTGCAGACATATAGAGAGAAAGACTATTTTAGCCAGGCCAAGTATTTTTGCAGTGATTGGAATAAATCGTTTATTACCTTGGACTCCCATTCAGGACACTAATTAAATAAAATCATGGCAAAGCATTTGCGAGTTGTTTACATTTTTATTTTATTTTTTAGAAGTTTTAGAGGCTGGGAAGAAATCCCAAACCTTTTTTTTTTTTAAAGGTTATGTTTTAATATATGAGTGTTTTACGTACAGGTATGTATACCATGTGCATGCCTGGCATTCTAAAATGCCAGAGAAAAGTATGAGGTACAACTGGAGTTATAGATAGTTTAAGCTACCATGTAGGTGCTGGGAACTGAACAGGTCAAGCTTTTAACCAGCAGACCACCACTTCAGCCCCAAACTCTTAACATTTTTAAACATTTTTATAATATACCCATTTGACATTAACAAGAGGGAAAGATCATGAGTTCTGCTCCAAGGCCTGGGACGACTTCACTTTGGTTTAGCTGTGCTTGCTCAGGGTATCTCAAAGGAATCAGGTAACAGTATAGGCTCCCAGGTCCCTCCCCTCCAGAATCTGCATTTTGCAAGATCCCCAGGAATTTGTATGCACATTGAAGAGGGCCAAGCTCTACGTACCAGATAAGAAGTTTATGTTGAAATGGCTACTGAAACAGGGCACGAGATAGAAACTAAAATACTGAGGTTCTGCCTGATGTCAGGGAAACACGTGCGGCTTCATGTATTATGTTAACCTTCAAAATCAACTTGTAATTGAGATTTAAGTCACTGCCCAACCTTAAAACCTAGGGCTTGGACCTAGGCAGTGACTCCATAGACCCCTAGTGCTTAACTGTACCTGTGTCCACTGTACCAGTGCTTAGTGCTTCTCAAGCCTGCATGCAGAGAAGACAGTCCACACAGAGAGAGCTAACGCTGTAGCTTCCTAACCAAATGCTGCAACTTCCTTTCTAAAATAGACGTCCATGACTAAACTGAAGTTTGGAAGTAAACCTACCTGCCTAAAATTTCCAGATAGTGCTTTTCATGGGGGATAAAAAAATGACCTGTCAGACCGGTTGGCAACGGCAGGTAATTTGATAAGGGTTACAGCAAGGGGTCACTGAAGGATCCTGAGTGTAGTCTGCTCGGGAGCTGTTGTCATCAGCAATGTCTTGGAGGACATCTGCAAGAACCCTGGTGACCTCCGGCAGCACCTCCTGGTACTCGGGGCTTCCCCTCTGTAGAGGTACACCCTCAGCGATGTCATCTTCTAGGTTGAAAATGAGAGGGGAGACGTGGCACTGCTCAGGACCCACACTCCCGTCACAAGCTTTGGCTCCACCTACGGGAAAGATGACCAAAAATGTGAAACCCAACCTTCACCCTGAGCTGCAGAGGAGGACAGACATCTGTGGTTGATTACACGTTAAAGGAACCAAGCCTAGGAATTCAAATGGCTGCTCTCTCTGCCAAATAAATGCCCTTGAGATTGTAGTCTGTCTTTCCAGTGATGATCATCTGTCCAGGGAGATGAGATCTGGCCCCTTGGACTTGCCTTCAGAACCAGTGAACATCTGTTCAAATACCATGTATCTCTGGCCTTTGAGAGCAAAACTTGTGGTGGTTGTTGTCTTGGTTTTTTGGTGGTTGTTTGTTTTGTAATTGGTACACATATGAAAGTCAGAAGACAACTTTCTGGAGTCTTCTACCACTGAGAGTTCAAGTTGTCAAACCACTAAGCCATCTTGCTGGCCCCTCCAGTAAGATATTTTTGAATACTGATTTCTCCAATGGCAACTGTTGAACTTGGTGGCTGTCAAGGTTAATTTCCCTGAAGATGATGCTGTTACAGAGGTTAAGAATCTGGTTATTATGCCAGTCCGAAAGAGGAGCGCTACAAGCACCTGGAGCATTTCTCACTTTTAAAGACAATATTTATTTATTTTTAGGTATACAGAGGTTTTGCCCAAGTATAAACACCCTGTGCATGCAGTGCACATGGAGGCCAGAAGAGGGCATCTAATTCCCTGGAACTGGAGTTACAGATGGTTGTGAGTCACTGTTTAGGTGCTGGGAACCCAGCCTGGGTCCTCTGGAAGAACAGCAAGTGCTCTTAACTGATAAGCCATCTCTCCAGCACCTGGCACTGTGTCTTAATGATTCCAGTGATTTTTCTCCTTCCTTTTTCTATGCAAAAAGTAGTTAGGGTGTCTAACAGAAATCTATGCAATTAAGTAATAGTTTGCTTCTGGGCATCTTGGTGGTAAAACATTAATGAGATAGAAACATCAATTGCTTGGGAGAAGGAGAGATCTTTCCCTGAACAGATGTCAGAGAAATCTTTCCAGTGGCCCTTCCGATAGGGAACCCTATATCATGGGCTTATACCCTCATTTGAGTAGAAGGGTAGGGTATGGTTTTGCTATATATCCTAGGCTGGCTTCAAGCTCTTTATCCTCCTGCCTCAGCCTCTCAAGTGCCAAGATGACAGGTGTGCACAGCCTTGCCCAATCTGATGACATTCTTACAACAAACAAACCAACCGATTAGAGGGCTCCAGCTGTGGTGTCTTCTCACCACAAGATGACAGCACAATGCCACAGCTCAACTCAGCAAAGACAAATCTAAAGGGACCGAAGTCAGCACTCCAGGGACACAGCTTTCTCGTTCAATATGAATGGAAATGAAACTAGAACTCTCAAGAAGAATGAGTGTATCCCATAGCCCTCTGACAGATCAAAGTCTCCAGCAGGGGTTTCCTCCCCTGGAAGACACTCATTTCAGCAAGGATAAGGAATTACAATCTTTGTCTAGAGTTGACAAAAATTTGACTCCAGCACCAGCAAGGAACACTTGAAGTGACACAAGCTTCGACAGTCAAGGAAAAGTTGGGGGTGACTCTCATAAAAATTAAGTAATCTATTGAGTAAGGAAATATCCCAGCATTTGGGAGCCAGAGGCAAGAAGATCTGTGAGTTCGAGGCCAGCCCAGAGCTACATAGTGAACCTGCCTTTAAATATATATTATCCAAGGTGGGACCTAGTGGAGCATGCCTGGAATCCAGAGGTAGAGACATGAAGATAAGGAGTTCGAGACCAGCCTTGGCTACAAAATCAATTGAGGCTATCCTGAGGTACATGAGACTTCATCTTAAAAAGAATTTTAAAAATACAAACACGAGGCACAGAAGGGATGTGGCTCACCACATAGAAATACTTGGCACATAGACCATAAAAAACAGAGTCAAAACCCACACAACTAATGGTACAAAGTGGTCCACTGGTGTCTACATGTATACCACAATACACACATACCTGCAAATATACATCATACACAGTCATGCAAATAAACATACATCATACACAGTCATGCAAATAAATATACATCATACACAGTCGTGCAAATAAATATCCACCACACACAATCATAATAAGTTTCGCTCAAGGAAACAGTACAGTGGTGTCCTTTGAACTACCATCCTCTAGCTAGCAAAATGAACTCTAGGCAACCTATTGTAGCAAATCAATAAAAAAGCGCTGTAGTGGAATAATCAAGACAGGCAAAGACTGGAAGGGACCTGACCCTGCAAAGAAAGCCACACTGCATGGGACCTGGTCCCAGGTTTCCCTACCCTGGAGATGCTGCAACCAGCAGTGTGGAACAGGCAGAATTCCTGAGGAAAGCTGAGGTGGCTTAAGGTGTCAGAGTTTAAGGTCACCACAAATGATGAAAACTGACAGGTGAAGTCCTACGAGGAAGACTGCCACAGAGCACCAGCCTGGAAACCTTCATATGAACTCCTGCGAATCCTTGGCTGACCCTTGAAAGAGTCCCCAGAGAGAGCCCAGCTGGAAGACCAAAATAGGCACTTTGGTGGCGGCCTGCCACAACGAAAACGTTGTGAGTACTGTTAGATGAGAAGAACGAGCCAGGCAGCGTGGGACAAGCCTGTAATCCAACACCTAAGATACAGACCGAGAGTTCCAGGCCACCCTGGCCTTGTAGTTCAAGACTAACCCAGAATACAAAATGAGACTCTCTTTCAAGAGAGAGAAAAAAAATAGATATGAAACAGCAAAACAAACCCTAAATTGCCCTTATTCACTACTGACATGCCCCCTCCCCCAAAGCTCAGGTGAGGAACAGAAATCAGGACCTGAGGGTTAGGGACTTTTCTAAACTAAGGGACAAAATCTGATAGGCAAAAATACTAAGGACACAGAATAAACCCTTCTTCCCAAGTTCAAGAGAATGAACTGTAATGGACTTCCCATGAAGCTCAGAAGTCACTCCCCTGTACTTCACCAACAAGGCCCAGGAGGCTTCCAGCTGCCACTATGGCCCAAAAGCAGCATGGAAGCCACTACCCTTACATTAGCAGAAAGAAAACTCGACGTACTGAAAACGGAACAGGTTGTCAATCTCTCTTCATCATCGGGACTAGAGACTCGAGTCCAGCAGAAAGCATTGTACCACTAAGCTGCATCTTTAACTGGACACCTTCTACTTTTGTAAATTTAAGCTCCAGGAGCTCAGGCAGGTCCCATAGTAAACTCCATAGTAAAATTCCACGGTTTTGGGAGCAGGAGAGGAAGACTAACATTTTAAACTACAACAGTGGTGGGTGCTAGAGAGATGGCTGAGTGGTTAAGAGCCCATGTTGCTCATGCAAAGACTTAAGTTCAGTTCCCAGCACCCATTAATTTCCAAGCTCCTACACTGGGTGGCTCACAACTGCCTGAAACTCCCTTTCCACGGGGACCTGACAGCTCTGGTTTCCATGGGTACCTGTGTTCTTACACACAGAGATACACAAACATACAATTTAAAATAGTAAAAGTAAATATTTAGCAAGTACAACAGTGGGAACTGGAGAGGTGGCTCAGAGTTAAGTTGTACTCTTACCAAAAAGTCAGGTACAAAAGTTAACCCCAAACGGCTCCAAGACCTAAACTCAAGACATAAAAAACCCTTAGAAGAAAACATGGCAATATTTTTACAACACTGGAAATGACAAATAGTTTCACAGACAAATTCAACTGGGAAAGAAGTGGACCAATCTTAGGAAGCCCTTTAGAGAAAACAGAGACTTCTCCCTAACTCATTTCATGTGACTGGCAAACTGGACACATACTTTACAAGAATGGAAATTATGAGCAAAATCTTAGCAAATCAAATCCGATAATATATGTGTGTAGATTATATATAAATAGATACACTAATATATGAGTGTACATATGTATATATGCATACATATATACATACATGCACACATACGCACATGTGTGTGCATATACACACACACACACACACATAATACCATGACTGAATGGGTTTGTTTAGGAATGTGTGTGTATGTGTATATTTTATATATGTATGTATACACAATATCATGACTGAGTGGGTTCCTTTAGGAATGTGTATTATTATGTGTGTGTGTGTGTGTGTGTGTGTGTGTATACTATGACTGAGTGGGTTCATTTAGGAATATATAGTTGGCATAACAACTGGAAACCGGTCAATGTTAATTGTACTCTCTAGCTTTTTGTTGCTGTGACAAAATGCTTGAGGTCAACAACTCAATGAGGAAAGATTTACATTGGCTCCTGCGTTCAGAGGTTTTGCCTGGTTCTTGGGGTTTTGCAAGGCCAAAAGCACCAAAGGAAAGGAAAGCTGATTACCTTAAAATGGACAGGAAGCAGAGAGAGAGGAGAGAGGAGAGAGAGAGAGAGAGAGAGAGAGAGAGAGAGAGAGAGAGAGAGAGAGAATACACCCTTTAAGGGTGCACCCACAATGATCTTCCTCTGAACTGGCCTGCATCCTAAGAGCCTACTGTGCAGCAAACCCACCAATGGGTTAATACACAGGTGACATTAGCATTTTCATGACCTCAGCAGCATCCAAAAATCCCACTCTTACAGAGGAAGACATTTAGTTGGGGCTGGCTCACAGCTGCAGAGGCTTAGTCCATTATCATCATGGCAGGAAGCATGGCCGTGTCCAGGCAGACATGGTGCCAGAGAAGGAACTGATCTGCAGGCAGCAGAAGGGGGATTATGTTCCACACCGGGCAGAGCTCGAGCATAGGAGACCACAAAGTCCACTCCCTAAGTGACACACTCCCTCCAACAAGGCCACACCTCCTAAGAGCGCCACTCCCTATGAGGAAAGCATTCACACACATGAGTGTACAGAGGCCTTTCCTATTCAAACCACCAGAGTGTGGAAGGCCGCCAGTAAGCCCAACACTCAGGAGTCAGACACAGGGCATCTCCAGAGCAAGCTGGCCAGGCCAGCAAAGTCAGTGAGGTCTGGGTTCAAATGAGTAATCCTGCCTCGATGTGTCGGAGAGAGAGTAACCACGGAAGATGCCTGATAGCAAAGCCTCTGGCCTTCATAAGTGTGTACTTGTGCACGTGCACCACATGAACTCACACACACACATATACACATACATACACACACTGAAAAAAAAAGGAAAAAAAAGAGAGATGATTTTTGAAAGAGGGGAGGGAAGGAAACCAGTGAGGTTACCCAGTTCTAGGCCACAGACCAAAAGACTGGTTGTCTGTCAAAGCCGCTCCAGTTCATGACCAAAACATCATCTCCCCGTCACAGAAAAACATATTGTCCTCTCTCCTAACGGAGGGGATGCCTATTCATCTGCCTTTCCCAAATGCAGTTCTAATAATTAGGAAGCCGTTTTTAAACCGTGTAGGGAGGACACAGAACACGGTGGCACCTTACCCTGTCAGGCAATTTTCCTCAAGTGTAGTGGGAGCCCAGTGCTTCACTCCCTACCCTGGTCTCCTTGGGGTTTGAGATTTTAGTTTCTGTCTGACTGCAATCACTCTATACAGCACTATTACTTCATGGTAAGGTTTATGATTCCAGTATTGTGGTGCCAAGGGCTCTCTGGCAGGGTTCTCCCTGCATGAAATCACTTCAGCCTGGAGGGCCCACGCCTCTTAGATAATGTAATGTAAGGATTCTGATCCCCGAGCTTTCCCTCGGAGACCACAGCAAAGAGCTGAGCGCTTTGTTTGAGGTTTAGGAACCAAAGAGTCTTGTAGCATTTCTAAGGTCCCTGGAGCTGTGAACTCAGAGGGCTTGTTCTAGTATTGCAACCACATCTCATGCTCAGGAAATCAATTGTGTGTGTGTCTGTCTGTCTGTCTGTCTGTCTTAACTATATAACTCTTTGAAAATCTCCAACATGAAGTAACAAGCCAACTGAAAATCTCCATTTTGTCCTAGCCAGGACTCAATGTGTTTTGTTTTGTTTTGTTTCCTTTTGTTTTTCATTGATTAACTTCAAAATATTAGTGCTCCAACTAAGCGCAAAATAATGGGACAAGCATTTCAAGATAATGAAGAGTTTAATTTAAATTTTATTAGTGTGCAAGCATGTACGCATTTGTGGATGTGTGTGTGTGTGTGCGTGTTTACCCTGGTGGTAAATACTTTTACCCACTATAATAGTTTTATCAGTTTGACACAAACTAGAGTCATTTGGAAAGAGGTAACATCAATTGGAAAAAAAAAAAGTCTCCGTAGGATCCGCCTCTTGGCAAGTCTGTGGGGGTATTTTCTTGATTAATGATTGATATTCCAGGGGCCATCCACCACAGGTGATACCACTCCTGGGCAGATGGTCCTGGGTGACATAAGAAAGCAAACGGAGCAAGGCACCGAGAGTAAGCCAGTAAGCCAGTAAGCCATGTCCTCTGCCTCAGTTCCAACCCTGGTCTGCCTCCCCTCGGTGATGGACCGTAACCTGGGATGTACAAACCAATTTATCCTTTTTCTCTCCAGGTTGCTTTTGGTCATGGTTTTTCATCACAGTGACAGAAAGCAAACAAGAATGGCCACCAGGCCACCTCACCAGCCCCAGTATGTCATTTCTAAAATACATTCTTAGTTTTTAAGTCTCAGTCACTGAGTGAACCAAGGAGGGGAGAGACTTCTGTGGGTCTGCTATGTAGACCTTTAAGATCTGCCTTCCGAAACATTTTATTGCTAAGTAAATGACACCTTCGAAGGTCTCTGAGCTCCTGTTTCATCAGCAGTCAAACCGGCATCTAAAACCTAACTTGGAGCCAAATATTTTCTCTGTGGACAGTGTGAAGAAGAAGAGTCTTGGGCCATGAGCCTGCTGCAGGAAGGCCTCATTTCCATTTTGGTGGGTCCAGAATGCCTTTGCTAGCCCTCCAGCCAAGCTTAAGGTTGGGTGGCAAAGTCACAGGTGAAGGATGTGAGCCCCTCAAAGAAGACAGCCATACTCTCTTGGGAACCCACGAGGTATGCACACGGGAGTTAGGGTGAAAGGTCCCACTTACCAGTAACGTAGAAGGCCTTGAAATGGTCGAGGCGGACCGTCTGCAGAGCACCATACTGTCCAGCAGCCCCACTGTTGGGGTGGAACAGCACCTGAGAAAGAGAGCGGAGAGCATGGCCTGTGTATCAGAAAACCTCGCTAGGCCATCAAGATGGCGCTGAGGGAAAACATGTTCCATGCACAAGCCTGGCAATCTGAGCTTGACTCCAGGAACCCACATAAAAAGCCTTAGTTGGTGTGTGGCTGTAAGCTCAGATTTCCTACTGCAAGAGAGGAGGCAGAGCGAGAATCCATTAAAAGCTCAGTTAGGGCCAACTGCATACACAGCATAGCATCAGAAACGGCACGGGAGACCCCACCTCAACAAAGTGGAAGGTCAGAACCGAGTTGACGGTGACCTCCACATGCAGATGTGGGGACATTTGCTACTTACATACCTATCTATATACACCTCCCTGATACATGCACTACATACGTACCTGCGTACACGTGAAAGAAAATCATGCTAAGTGTCATGGTCTACTTCATCCCTAATGTCCCTTACCCACACTCCTAAGTACCCTCTAACAAGCACAGGCCTGTAGCTGATGCTGGCCTACTCCTGGGAGCCACTGTGAAATGGTCCTGAAGAAGGGTGAGCTACAACTCTGTGGGGCTGCGAGATCTCACTGGGTAAGTCAGTCAGATCATGGGCCCGATGGTTCTGGAACCTGCAGGGGTTTGAGTATCAGTGGCTTTTAATTCAACAAATTAAAAAAATTCCAACACAGCCACAGCAGCACTTTAATCAACTCTCGGGCCCTTCTCTCAGAGTGTCTTGTGGCTAACCAGGTCATACACCCAGAAGTCCTACCTGCACCTGCCCCTCAGTTGCAGAAAGCAAACCTGGCAACAAAGATGGCTTCCATATATTCTGAGGCTTGCAATGAAGTCACCTGAAGGTCTCCATAAAAACTGACTTCTTACACCTCCAGTAGACATTCTCTCTCTCTCTCTCTCTCTCTCTCTCTCTCTCTCTCTCTCTCTCT